ATTTATTTTTATTCAAATAAGAACGATGTCAGACGATGCACTTTCATGGTGTTAGTTTAATAATGCAATGACTCCGTGCTTCCACTTTGCGCTTTACACCAACCACGACTCTCGTCCTTTGCAACTAATTATAAGCAGCCAGGTCCGACTTGCTAGAAACAGCGTCTGAGCTGATGGCGAATTCCACTGGGCGTTTTGGAGCGCGCCGGGATCACTTGACGAGATCCGGACTGGAGCGCAGGATTCGAACGGGGTCGCGCCGCCTACGGATCCCCACTGGAACATGACCACTGCTCCGGGATCGGCGGATGCCTTCCCGTCATTCAACTGCCCTGGAATTCCCTTTCCGCGGCCGCCGTGGTCGTTTCGAAGACGTTTTCGCAATCGCGGCGCTAACACGTGTTCGACGCACGAGCGGCAGGAATGGCTCAGGTGCTTCTAGCAAAGATTGCCGGAATGCCCGTAGCGCGGCAAATACCTTCTCTTCTCCTTCCTGGAAAACGAACCGGCTGTTGAGCCAACGGCTAAGCAAGCGGCCATTACGAATTCTTCTGATGTCGAGACAATCTAGGAGCCCAGCCCGCGACATACTTCTTCTTCTCATGCGAGATGGGCCAGATCAGGCGAGATGCCCCGCGAGAAAGGAAGTCACGTGTGTGCGCCGAAGGCTGGCCCGGCTGGCTTCCGGTTGAATCCCCCGAAATCGTGGGAGCGACTTTTCTCGGATCCAGATCGAGATCTGGAGCGGGAACTAATCCAAAACGACCGGTGAAACACGTCGGTCTCGATCCCAATCGCCCAGTGAAATAGGCTCGCTCCAGAAAAGTCGATCCCGGCGCCCTCCAAAACGACCAGTGGAATTCGCCATGAGACTTTGGGAAAGAAAGCAATGCCAAAGCCAGCGCTCGAGCTGAGCGGGGCTCAAGCAGCGTCTTAAGACGGTCGCGCGCCCCACCCTGTGCACTGCTTTCTTTCACTCAGCCTTTTCTAGCAACCCGGCCCAAGATCACAACTCATGAAGTTTCCTCGCGCTTCTCTTTCGTTTTTCTGAGTCGTTCCCCGTGCTCGATAACATGGCGCATTCAGATGCGCCATGAAATTCGGGTACCCCCTTCTGTTGCTACGGGGCGCTAGATTAAGCTCGTTTCTGGACCGCGAGTGCCGCAAGAATACACTCGTCAGAGTAAAATAAGACGCTGATCCAGAGGCACATACGGCTTCTCGCACATCGCACTAGCAAAACACATTCACGCGGCGTCGATTCTTGATCGTTATCCAAGCGTGCGAAGGCACAAAGACACAGCACCTCTGCGTGCCAAGGAAGCTTTGAACACGCCACGAGACCGGCGAAACTTGCTATTGACGAGTTGTGCCTCTTTCCTACGGCACTGCGTTTTCGTAAAACTTTCCACGTGTTCTCCACGGCAAGTATCACACCTCACAAAGAATCTTAAAGAACATCTTTGGTGAATGACGACGAACGAGTAGAAAATGTGTCTTTTGCAGGCTGCCGCCAACCTCTGCAACGCTAGGAAAACGAGAAAAAATGGCTTGCAAGATGGCCGTCCGGTGGCCGCACTCGCACTGCATTGAACAAGTAGGGATGCGCGATCCAGCAATTGTCATTGAGATCAGTGACCTAGGCTGTGTTCCAAAATTTACTCGATCCGACTCCGGAGTAAAAGTTTCGTACCGTGGCGTTCCAAAACTTACTCGAGCTTACTCGATGACGTCAGAACTCGCGTTCCAGAAGCGGGTTGTTTACTCCGGAGTAATTACTCGCGCTACCCTCCTCGATCGGGGGGTAAAGTCGGATCAAATCGAGTAAATACGTCACGTGATCTGTTCGTCGTCTGCTTTCTGCGCAGACAGCCGTCTAATCTCGCTTGCTCCGTTGGTTTTGGTGGCGGACGTTCGAAATGACAAAGAATTAGGTGCAGCATCTGTAGTTATTGCGATTTGCTGTTGTCAACGCAGGAATTGACTGCATTACATCCAGACCGTCCACCTTCCCCGGGAACGTGTACTTGTTATTATCTGAGTGCGAGCGTAAACAGGAGCTTTTCCGCATCCTCGTCCTCGGCGTTGGGGGAATGCTGCATTCTCACGTTCAATTCCGAAAATGTTTGAACTCGGTATATGATAATGTAGCATTTTTGTTTCCTCCAGAGTGTGTGCAATGAGAGGATAACGTTTGTAAAGCAGTGAAGGCTTCGAAAATTTTACTGTAATCGCATTCGCGTCAAAGCGAACGTGAGTTTCATATCATTCTGCAGGAAGCACCCTCGCGCTGTACCGCTACACAGTGTGGAATATATTTCTGCAAAACATAATCGGTGCAAATTACAATGCGTGGAATTTATCCGTTTAGGGCACCGTGACTAGAATTGCAGCGATCGCGCTGATTAATAAAAACACATTTTTTTATGTCTAGCTGTAAGGAGTAAGTAATTTTGAACTCAATATACAGCTCAAAACGAAGGTGAGTAATGGAGCCTGGTGGATCAACATCAAAAAACACCGCGTCGTCATTAACATTACCGTTCTTCGGGTGCTTTCTCCATGATCAAAAGGATCGTCTGCAATTTTCTGCCATCGCTGCTGTGTTTCCTTTTTGCCGTAGCCCAAGACGAAGCCAATCCGCGTAGTATCCAGGTGATTATCCTGGCCGTTCCAAAATCGAGTCGCGGATCGTTTACTCGCGATGTCACGTGGTATTACCCGCTGTCGTAGGAGGCAGGTTACTCGGGTAAGATTTGGAACATAGCCCTAGTGTCACTGGGTAGGTTTGCAGAGTACCGCAGT